ATATATATATATATATATAACTCAACCTTTGACATCAAACTCAGTATTAAAATGTTTTCTATTGTCACATTACAACTACCAATAATAATTCTCAGTGTAAGCTATAGCAGTGAAAGCATGAGCCATTTTTGCCTGTTACTGGGATGTTTTCTTAGATTTTTGAGATGTCACGTGTTATTGTGATTCTCTTTTAAGACTAACACCCTGTTTGAGTCCGGGAACTTCTCTTTAGTTCACCACATGAACCTCTGAGTGGCCGTGCTGTCCGGCCAGTGGAAGGTCTTACTGATGAAGATGTAAAGTGTGGCAGCGTTGACCGCCGTGTACAGAAGGAACTCCACGGTGAGTCTGGGAAGAGAGGGGAGAGGCATGTGCAGGCGGTACATCAGGTAGGGGACGATGAAGTACCGGAACTCCAACAGTTTCTGGGGCACTGTGGCAGCCAGGAGGCACGCCAGGAACGCCAAACTCCAGAACAGCGAGCGCGACTTGAAGGAGTCCAGGAAGTTCCACCCTGCAAACACGTACGCGGGGACGAGGAGGAAGCGCACCAGCTCGTGCCTCTGGAAGAGCCTGTTCCAGACGTAGAAGGGGAAATGGCGGTTATCTGCCAGGAGGTACCTGTGGACGAACGTGAACTTCCACACCAGGAGCAAGGAGACGCCCGTGATGAAGAGGAAGAACAAAGGCTGTCTTTTCAGAGCGTGGAGGAAGCGAAGAACGCGGTGGTAGCAAAGTGAGACAGGGAGGGAGAAGAAGAGGGCGAAGGAGAAGAAATAGAAGAGTTGGGGGAAGTTGAGGCAGGCCTCGTGGCTCGTCCTGTCACCCACCACGATCCCATCGTTCAGCACCACGAACACCAGGAAGCCCACGCCGACCGCCGCGTACGGCCACGCCACCAGCAGCACCGCCTTCACGTGACTGGGTGACGTGAGGAACTCCAGCGTGAAAAGCACCACTTTCTTAGCTCCACTGAACGACAGAGGCACCTGGGACGGAGGAGACTTCTCATCCCTCTTCTTCGTGTGCTCCAACCTCCAGACCTCGTCCATTTTGGCGGCCACCAAGGTGCCCGCGCAGAACGCCACCCAGATGATGTTGGTCTGGCGGAAGAGCACGGAGCACACGCCGAGGAACGCCGAGGCCTTGTGGCAGCCGTAGAGCGTCATCAGGTAGGTGAAGAGGATGAAGAAAGTAGAGCCGGCGTCGGTGTAGTAGAGGAAGTTGAAGAAGTAGAGCACGGGGAAGGTCGACAGAGACAGCGCTGAGAGGACTCGGCGGGAGGTTGTTCGCGTCTGGAAGAGCGGAAACGTGATGTCAGGAGACAAGAAAATCACAAACAAAATCATGCATGATTATCTTCCTCATCTGGAAATACCTTCTCCCTGAGGTGCAGTTTGCAGATGAGCAGATAGAGCAGGTAAAGGTTGCCGCAGTTGAACAGCAGGTTGATGAAGCGCAGCATGGCCGTGGAACACACCACCGCGCCTGTCAGGTCAGCAAGCCACACCACAGGCTTGATGACTCCCACAGAGACGAGGTAAAGGCCTGGGAGAGTGGTGATCATTGGGTCCCACTGCACAGGGGTCAAAACCACGTTAAAGACACGCGCGTTTTACACGAGGACACGTTCAAATAGATGTGAAAACAGATGTACGACATTGTGTGTGGCCAAGAAAGTAACCCTGATGATGTCATAGTGATGTCATAGTGATGTCATAAGAGTTGTCTCTGCTCGGGCTAGGAGATGACACATTTTTTTTGTGTTACAAACTGGGGACAAAGAGGTCTTGGGGTCGAAGGACATGGTGTTTACTAGACAGGGAGCATCCTACAAAAGAGAGACTATCAAGTGGCATTATGGGAAGTAGAGGATCTTTTATTTTTTGGAGTTTGACCCATTGGGAACTAAAAATCATTATACAGAATATAATATATATGTTTGCTGTTTTTAAAGGAATATACTCCACATTACATCGAACACTTTCCTAAAGTTTATCTTGCTTTTATTTTTTTATTTTTAACATGTTCTATACTATAATGTCATGCTATAACTGTAAGTAAGATAAGAAACTAACAGGAAACACTGAAATAACACGAAAATAAAACTCTTTATAACCGATGATGATGCTCCTTTAATCTCCTCTCCTCTACATCTATATACTACAGTCCTTTTAGCCACATATCTGCATTAATGCCAGTCTATAAAGGAGATATATCTAGAGATTAAAAGCTCCACAAGCTGCCACGGGATGTTAAATGACAAAAGCCCCGCTGTTAGCTAACCTTAATCCGCTAAACAACAACGAGGGACTCGCTCTCTTCCAGAAAGACATTTTACCTCGTTGAATTTTCCGTGGCAGTATTTCTGAGCTTGTGGGACGTGGAAAATCTCGTCCATGTACGGCTCCCTTTGCTCCCGAGTGACTCTGGAGAAAAGCAGGCAGGATATCAGAAAGTTGGTGCTGCAGAGAGCAGTGAAGATGTAGCCTTCAAATTTCTCCATGTTTGACGACGATGCAGAAGTGAATGGAGGTCAAAAGCTAGCTGCTGCTGTTGTTGTGTTGTGTACTCCGCATAACGACTGTAATCGCGTATTAAAAGCACTGTAAAGCTCAGGTCGGGTGGAAACTGCTTCAACTCCTGTCCACTTTTAATAAACGGATGAGTGTTTATTTTTGACAGCTGGCGGTCCGCTTCGGAAACATGCCCGGTATGGAAACTCTAGTATTTTTATTAGTTCCTGCGTTAAGCTAAATAGTTTAGCATCAAATGTCTTTCAAATAGTACCCACCATATTTATACGTATGATGTGTTTTTTTTTAAAAGATAATGCTTTAAGTATCGTTTTCTATGATTGTGTGGAAAAGTTTTGTCCTAAATAGGAACTTTCCTCCGGAGCGGTGTCACCGTGTTATGGTTCCCCTCGTGTACGGACGTTCAGGTGAAGCGCGGTTCATCTCAATTTCTTCATAGTTCGTGAAAGAATTAGTCAACATGCATTTAACTCATGAATTAGAGCTTTTTCCCGACCGCAGGGTGACTCAGATGCTTTTTAAGGAGGTCAAAAATGCCGCAGAATTGAGACAGAGTGCGGTAGCGGGTAAAATAAACGGTGCCTTGATCAACCCAACGATGGTGAGATATTTCCCCTCAGCTTTAGCAACGTTTTATCACACTGTTATGCACTTAAATCATATTATTGTGAATATCTGTGAGCTAACAATGGTATTACTTCCCTGCCTTGCCTCTACACTTGCTCACATCTTTTTTAGTAAATGGGAAGTTAAAGGTTTTAAAGAAACTGCAGCTTCAGTCACCATCAGACTTTATTTTCCTTTTACAGCTGGTGGATCCTTTCCAAGTGCTGGTAGCTGCCAACAAGGCTGTTAACTTACAGAAAAGTGGAAAAATGAAGACAAGAAGTTTATACTCAGAAATAATCTTCAACCTGTCACCTACTAATAATGTAAGTAACCAAAAGAGTTCATGTTCTTTGTATCGTTCATCTGAAAATGCTTCTTTTTGTTCATGCAGGGACATTTGTAGCTTTCAGCCTTTGCTCTCCTAACTAATGGTAACTGCACTATTAGCCACTGTATCTAGAAATGGGAATGTATTCCTTTTTGTTGCGCTCACACTCTGCATGGGAGCATCAGCTAGACAGCCACAATGTACATGAATAAGATGGAAACCGAAATGAATCCTGTGTGTATGCCCTCCCTAATACAGATCTCAGAGGCGTTTAAAAGGTTTGGGATCTCAGATGGCGATGACTCCGTCCTGGTGGTCCTGGTTCACAGCGAAGAGGAGTCCCAGTTTCTGTCAGATATCACAGCCAGGGTGAAGGGACGGCAGATTCCAGTGGAGGATGTTTCCTCGCTGTCAGACCAGGCAAAAATCAAAAAGGTTATCCGTCTCTGCTTTCATTTTACGTGACTCACTCCCTGCAAATGAGTATCTGTGTGTTAAGCCATTAGCTGGAAGCAATGAGTTATAAGTAAAAATGTGATGTCTGCTTTTTTGATGGACCTGACACCTACTCATAAAAATGGATTTCAGTAGAATTTCTGTTAATCTTTCCTTTTTTTTTGACTTTGTTTCAGCTGTATAAAGTCACTCCCCAGGAGGAGAAGTGTGGGACTCTGCTGGACGCAGTTGTATGCAGGATGGGCACCAAAGATGTCATGTAGCTACAACAGGAAAAAAGGACCAGAACAGGACTTTAAAAAAAAGAAGTGGTTGCCTTTTTTCATGTGAGATGTGGATTTTCTGCTGTAGATGTTATTCCACCACGTTGTTAAGTGCCAAAACTGCAAACATGGTCTTTTGTGCATTCCACGCAAACTCAAATCAACGCTTTTATCACAGTTTATGTACATCTAGCTTATTTTTCACACATCTTTTCAGGGACTTTATTTGTTTTTGGTCCTACTTGAGTTTACTATACAACTGTTAGACTGACAGTTGTGGAAAAAGTTTGAGAGGCAGTTAGGGAAGTCACAACACTTTATTTAGCATCAGCTTCCCTCAGCAACTTTTCATGCTTCTCAGTCTTTCCTTTAAACCTTTACAGTACGTTACAGTTATTTTTGTCTCTGTCAGTTGATGGTGGGCTCACATTTTCTGACAGCAGAGGACAGTGATGTAAAGTCTGCAGCCACAACACTGATATGAAAGATTCAGAGTTGAGCCAAATTTCATTCAAACCTCGTCAGCCTCAGAAGAGAATATTAAATACTGGTTGTCTTAAACATCTTGGCTGTGTTCTTTAAAATCACCTTTGAGTGACCCGGCACTGAAATTACTTTGATAGACCTGAATGTTTTTACATCTTCACAGCATGTTACACTATGAAGACACAAAAGAAAAAGCAAAGTATTGGCTGAGACGTGTGAGAAAAGTCACATTACAATTGTGAATATTTGTCAGTCTGGGAAGTTGGCAAGCTCGTCTTTTCCGATGTTCCCGCCGCTGAGGATGCACACCACGTTCTTCCCCTCCAGCTCGGGTATCTTGTTGCTAACGATGGCGGCGAACGCTGCGGAGCCCGACGGCTCCACCACGAGTCCCGACCTGTAGAGGGTGGACACCGCCGCCTGGATCTCCTCGTCGTTTATAAGGACGATCCCCTCCACGTAACGCCGACACAGCTCGAAGGGCAGTGTGCCTGGGATGCAAAGAAAAGGAGAGAGATGCAAAATAAAAAAGCGTTCAGTTCTTCAATCACCAAAACAAAACCCTTCTGTTTGCTTGTGGGAACTGGATTTTTGGAAAAATGTGACCATAAATGGAAACAAGGGAGAACTTTTTGTCTGTTCTCTGTGTAGAAAAATTATAATTTTGTGGTGAATTATGCCTTTTTCTTCCTCTATTTGACCAGAAAAACTACAGTCTTTGTAGGTTAAGAACAGACCAACAAGAGGTCTAATTTAAAGCAGGGAAGAGAAATATAAGAAACAGTTTGAATAATACCTGCAAAAGGTGGCGCAAGTCCCGAGGCGATGCTCTTGGCGTCCATGCCCACTGGCTTCTTCTCAATGAAACTTTTGTACATGGTACAAGCTGAGTTCAAACAGAAAACACAAAGTCACAACAAGTTCGCTGAGCTTGCTGGGATGTGTGGTGTGTGGAGCTAGGTGACGCTCCTACTCCTCTTTAGTTTTACCTCCCTCTGGTTCCACACCGTAGATTCTGGTCTTGTCACAGCCTGACAGTTTGATGGCAGCAGCTACACCGGCCAGCAGGCCCCCTCCACCACAGCACACCACCACCACGTCGGGCTCAGGCATCACCTCCAGCACCTCCATGCCAAGACTGGACACACAGGTTTAGACTGTCATTTTAAATACTGGTAGTTTTAAAATGAACGAGCATATTAAAAAAAAAACCTGGAATTTAAATAATCCCAAATTCACAGTTGGCCCTGATTGTACCTGGCGTGTCCTGCTATTAGATCCAGGTCATCATAGGAGTGCAGGAAGGTCATATTGTCCTCCTGAACACTGCGGTTAACCACATTCATCAGACAGGAGGTAGGAACACGCTCCACCTCCACCCCAAAACTCTGAGGACGAGAATGAGACTTTCTTCACAAAGTGTACCTAAGCAGCCGGAGGGATTTGAATCTGTCTGTGTCCTCTGACCTGTATGAGGATGGATCTGGACACTGGGGCAGTTTCCGGCATCACCACCTTCCCCTTTGACCCATAGTGTTTTGAGGCGTATGCAAAAGACTTCCCATAGTTCCCGGCAGACATGGTGACAAAATGACCACCCTTCGGTCTCCTGGCAAACTGATTGGCCACCCCTCTGATCTTAAACGACCCTGTCAATCAAATGTAACACAATTCTTAAGTGATAACTGAGAGGGCTGCAAGGTGTGGGTGTGTGATGTGAATCAAAGGGGGTTTCCTCTAACCAGTTCTCTGCATGTTCTCCAGTTTGATGTGGATGTTGCAGTGGATGTTGAGAGGCAGGGTCGTCTGGCACCAGGGGATTGTGGGAGTGTTGATAACACCCAGCGGGCTGCTTCTCACCGTCTCCCTGGCGTCTCTCAGCAGATCCAGGGTGACGGCGTCTGCAGACACCTCTCCCATCTGTGTCAGAAAAAACACAGTTTAATATCAGGAATACATTTATGCTGTGTAGGCTGATTTGAAAAACATGCATTTAATTAATTCATGGTAATAACAAGCACTATATATTTTGTATAAGTATTTTTTGTGTTATTGTTTTTTATATGAAGTCAAATCAGCCCTGGACACTAACCCTAACTTCATTTTCTGTACAAAATGCGAATAATATTGTAAATACTAATATAATAAGCTACTTATAATATAAAAATATATAGTAAAATATATTTTAGCTGCTCTGTTGATACTGGACATGTGAGCAGTCCACGCACAGTTACAGATTTATGAACAAGAGCTAATTACAAAACCAGCTTTTTACAAAAGACTCGTTAAGTTAACCATACAGATATATTTAGTGCATTAGGCTCATTCCCCACTAACCTTAGCATTTGTTTTTGTTTTTTCTCTAACTTTAAAGAGTCACAGCTCCGTGATGTTTACAGTGTTACATTCTTTGCGGCTCCCACCAGCGTCGTGGTTCCAGTTTGAAACGTGTTTCTGGTCGGACGTTATTATCAAACGGCCCTCAAACATGGCTGCGGCTGAAAGTGGCAATGGAGAGCAGCGAGGTGACTTTTCTGAGTGAAACCAGAAACACTAGCATTCATAGACAGGAGGAGACGGTGAAGCCATGGGTTTTATGAGACACGTCGTGTGCGCCATGTCCGGCGGCGTTGACAGCTCTGTGGCTGCGCTGCTACTGAAGAGAAGAGGTGAGAAGAACCGACTGACAGACTGAAACACACCTGAGCTCATTCACAACAGCTCCTAATTGAAACCTCTCTACCTCAATAAGAAGCTATTATTATTCTGAATATTTAAATCCAAGTAGGCCTGCCAGCTGTTTTTGTTACATGATGTACTGTCCCAGAAATCATTGCGATGAACAATGTTATTGTCATTTTAAGGTTATTATTTTAGCCACTGATCAAATAAGCATAGTAATGTAAGTACACCCTTTCAAAGTGCAATTCACTTTTAATTTAATATTCAGACATTTGAATTGAACTATAAACAAATATTAAAACGTCCTTGATAAAGAAAACATACATGTAACCATACAAGTGAAACAATAAAGAAAATTGACTCTTAAATAAATATAAACCATTTGGCACAATGGTTGGCTGTCGAGTCATTCCTTCCTTAAAAGACAATATAGTAATGCTAGGCGAAACCTAAAATATTAGCTAAAATGTTGGTTAAATTCCCAAACAGTAAGTCGATATCGTGACAGGCAATAATTACATATCGTATATATTACGCAATAAGTCGATAATTATTATAACAGGCCTAAATCCAACACGTTCTGCGTCTGTTACCGAATGTGCCAGCACACTCACATCACATTGTTATTATTGTCTCTTCCATGTGCAGGTTATAGTGTAACAGGAGTCTTTATGAAGAACTGGGACTTGCAGGATGAGAAGGGGGTGTGCACTGCAGAGAAAGACTGTGAGGACGCTTTCAGAGTGTGTCAGATCCTGGACATCCCCTTCCACCAAGTGTCTTATGTCAAAGAGTACTGGCACGAAGTGTTCAGGTATTTGTGGGGCTGCCGTGCACGAATCATAGTAAACATGTTTTCACTTAAGAACTCTTCAACGTGAGTGTTACATCTGTCTTTTGCCACTTTCAGTAACCTATTGAAGGAATATGAGAAGGGCAGGACCCCAAACCCAGATATAATGTGTAACAAGCACATCAAGTTCAACCATTTCCACAAGTACGCTGTCGACACACTGGGTATGTAATCACAATGTGGTCGGACGCTCACATATTATTATATATTATTAAGCATTTGACATTGGCACAATACATTTTGTTAAATGCGACTTTTAATTAGTGCTGTTGTTGACTATAAGGTGCTGATGCCATGGCAACAGGCCACTACGCCAGGACATCACAGGAAGATGAAGAGGTTTTCCAACAGACGTACACAGCCCCGCCTACCTCTCTCTTCAGAGATCGATTTGAGATTAGAAATCGTGAGAGTTTTGCTCTTGTCCCCCCCCTTAGTTTAATGTTTCACCTTCTCTACTGGCAGTGAACGCAGCACGGGCTTTAAGATCAGTCCCTCTGACTGCCTTAACAACCTTTTTTTCTCTCCCGTCTGTCCAGCGGTGAGGTTGTGTAAGGGAGCAGATCTCGTCAAAGACCAAACCTTCTTCCTCAGTCAGATCTCCCAGGATGCCTTGCGACAAACCCTGTTCCCACTGGCTGGACTTACCAAAGATTTTGTCAAAAAGATTGCTGCTGAGGCGGGGTTTCACCATGTGCTGAAGAGGAAAGAGGTAGCCACACACACACACACACACTCATAAAGAAAGACATTTATTCACGTCGTATTACATCAGGAGAGCCGAAATAATTATATCATTTATAATATGCTGAGAGTAAACTGTGTTAATGTCTTTCCAGAGCATGGGCATCTGCTTCATTGGAGAGAGAAACTTTGAAAACTTTATTTTGGAGGTAAGATTTAAGTATATGTTCCACTTAATTTGGCTGATTCAGCTTGTTTTCTTTATTTTTATTTTTAGCTTTCATTTATAAAGAGATACATTTAAACCTGTACTGATTTCTTTCTGTTTTCAGTATCTGGAACCTAAACCTGGGAACTTTGTCTCCATCGAGGACGGGACGGTCGTGGGAACACACAAAGGTGTGTTTATGGTTGGTTCTCTGACAAAATGAAGAGCTGCTGTGTCACTGTTATACAAACAGAATGTAATGGCTCTCAATACGTAAGGCCAATTAAAACAAACAACTTTAAATGACCCTTTTCCACTTTGCCGTCCACTCTATCCTCTAAATTTGTGTCCTTACAACATTTTAAACAACTCACGGTGTACCTCCTGTCCGTCCAGGCTGGTTCACTCTGACACTGGGCCAGAGGGCGAGGATAGGAGGGCAGAAAGACGCCTTGTTTGTGGTGGACAAAGACATCACTACTGGAGATGTGTTTGTGGTGAGAAAGTCTGTCTCTGTTGTTAAAGTGGAAGCATCCTCCTTGTCTTCTGTCTCCTCTGAAACGATACAGCATAGTATGATTCAGAAGTTAAAAGTTTTTTTGTGAATTAATTTCCTTCTTAACATATTTTCCCAAGCCACTGTATTTTGTGTCTTTGCTGGTACTTCAGTCCTTAAATTTCTCACCAATCAGGCTCCAACTACCAATCACCCGTCTCTTTTCCGTGACACGTTGCGGACCGACCGCTTCCACTGGATAGCAGTTGACCCGCCTGCTGAACTAGCCAGGACTCAGATGATGGAGTGTCATTTCCGCTTCATCCACCAGATGCCACTCGGTGAGTTTGGAGTTGTCAGTGCCTGCACATTGATCCGTGAGAAGTAGTGAAATGCAGAGAGCACATTATTTGCTGAACAAGAAAAACACTGTGCTTTCCAGTTCCCTGTACGGTGACGCTGAACATGAACGGCTCCGTGTGGATCTCACTCTCACAGCCATTAAGGGCTCTCACACCTGGACAGGTAAGAGATACAGAATACAGTGTAACACCAGTTATAATTTAACACTTAAAACCTACAGTATGAGAAAGGAATGTGATTGTGTGTAGAAGTATAAGTGTATTTTGCCTGTCTTTCCATTTCTCCCCCAGTTTGCTGTGCTCTACAAAGGTGACGAGTGTCTGGGTAGTGGGAAGATTGTCCAGCTGGGGCCCAGTGAATACACACTCCAGCAGGGCAGAGAGCGGTTGTTAGCAGCGGCGCAGCTCAAGCAGCAGCAGACCCCCGAACCAGCCAGCTGAGACTGACCTCACAGCCCGGTCGTGGTGGAAATGAGCTCTGTCCGGTAGATCACCCTGTCCATACAAAAGAAAATGCCTCTTAGACTGGGCTTTGAGACACAGTGCCTGTTCTGGAGGCCTTGTTGGAGGCGGTACTTGGTTGTTTTTAAACTTCGACGTGTCAACAGTATTAATAACACAAGGGGAAAAAGGGTGGATTTCCATACTGTTTTTAGTATTTGGGATTCGATACTATGAGGCAATCTGCTAGCTGCTCAAATAAACCATCTGCATCCAAGCCTACGTGTGTTTTGGAGTGGAGACTAAATGGTGATAAGATGGTTTGATAAGTAACATTAACCTCATTTTGAAAAGATTTTCCGACTATTCGCTATTACACGTCAAACATCACTGATTAGATGACACCACCAAATGTCTGTTTCTACTTATAATTTACCGGTTACCATTATTTATGCTCAACAGATTCTCCATTGAACATTCATGATAACATCAGAGCTGCTGTTATTGTTTGCCATGCATTGTAAAGAATACCTGCACTTTGACGTAAGTCTTTGAGATATCGTGTAGTTGATCTGGTTTATATATTTAAGAAGTGCTGGATGTATTTTCTGAGACACGCTGGAGGATAATTGCCAGAACTGTGGTTATCCTTTGGAACTGGAGTTTTAATACCAGAAACCAAAATCAAATTTTTTAAAGTATCCAGCTCTAAAATGGTTCAGTAAATAAAACAATCCCTCAACTCAAACTTTTAAGTTTGAGAGTTTTTGTCTTCATACAGTCTGTACTCATTGTTATGACCTGTGGTCTTTTTCAAGGACTTTTTAAGACTGTTAGTCTCAACCCTTTTAATGTTGTTTTCTATATTATAATGGTAGGAAACCTGTGAGCGACCCAGGATTAACCGAGGCATAGGAGGTTCTGTGGGATCTGACTCTAAGCAGGATTAACTACTCATGTCCACTAGAGATATGTATGAGTATGGCACAATTATTTGGCGCTCTTGACTGTGAATGAAAGTGACAATGATATTCTCTTCAGTATGATGGGATTTAAACTTGTCATTTACTGTAGCTCTTCCTGTCAGCTCTAAGGATGCTTATGTTTTCCATGAATTTCCCTCCCATCCTTGATCTTGGTTGAATGTCACTGATGTTCACCCTGCCTCTGTGCCAACTGCAAACCTACAGTACTCTACTTGGTTCTTTGAACGATTGTCATACCATGTGTTTTGATAAATTAAATTAATACTTTAATACATAAGTAGAAACTCTGCGCCCTTTTGTTGTTTGTTTGTGTTATTCAGTTTTCTCCTCTGAGGAGAAGTTGTGTTGAAAAGCCAGTTAATGGTGAACATAGGAGAAATTATTTTTCTAAAATCATGCCAAGTTAACAAACAGCTGCAATTAAAATAATATTCAAAATAACCAGAATATGGTGTTATGGGTTATTTTAGCCAGTTGGTTCAGTTGTTCTAAACAATTGAAAAGACAATTAAATTGTTTTATACTGTCACTCCATATTTTGAAATTTACATATTTGAATAATTTGTTGTTTTAAACAATCCTATAAGAAAATTTGATTGAAAATTTCTCTTCAGATAGCATTGTTGTACACTCCTGAACAAAATCTTAAGACCGGGAGAAAAATTACAAGTATTTGCATTTTGTGCTGGTGGAACATATCCAGGTTGTAAGTAGAGCTTAAAAGAAAAAAGAAGAAACAGGACTAAGAGACAAAAAAAGTAAGGACAATTTAATTTAAAATGGCATCTAAAACTCCAACTGTTCATCAGCTGATCAAAAGTTTAAGACCATAGCCCAAAAAAACCCCAAAACAGAACTAAAAGTGTCAAAAAAGGACTCAGTAGTGAGTAGCCCCACCGTTGTTGTTGATCACTTCAAAAATTCGTTTAGGCATGCTTGATGCGAGTGTTTCCAGGAGGATAGTGGGACTTCCTCCATGTGTACGTTGCCCCCCCCCCCGGTCTTTAAATTTTGCTCAGGAGTGTAGGTCGTAGAACATGAGTTCTTCCTGAACTACAAACTGTAAATACTTTTACATATGAGTGAATAAATCTAATAAGTGATGTGTTGACTTGTTTCTACTGGCCTGTATACTGAAATAATCTTTCCAGAGTCATTGTATACTTAAAAAATACACAATGTAGTCATGCATTGGTTGTTCTACTGTTATTGATCCACAAGGGGGCGCTATTGTACAAGATTAACCTCCAGGTTGAACTTATTCTGGAGTCAGCATTGTTTTGTACACAACAACATGCTGTATATCCTAATGAATCCTAATGACTGTCACGTCCTAGCCTAATTATACAACTTCATTCCATGTTATCATATTGTCTGTTTTCCCAGAAGGAATTTCATGTTTGGTCATTTTTGAAAAGTTTCCCTGTTTGTCATCTGTCAGCTTAAAACTGGTTTTCTTGTGGGGAGAAAATACACAAATGTGATCAGAAAACAGAAAAAAGACCAAGGCTCAAACAACACTGATAATAGTAAGAAATAAACAAATAGGTTTTGTTGATTATACCATTATGCAATCTTTTCTTAAGGGAAAATTAAACCCAAAACATGACAAATTAGTAAATAACAAAACGGTATATCATATTTTTATCATTAGTTTTTCAAACTTATCCAGAAGAAGCCAGGCTTATTTTGTGAAACATAATGTTATCCTAAAATTATTACTAATGACCATTCAACAACTCACCAAGAACCATATATGAATAATATATTGATTAACAAGGGTTATAATTGTCTTTTTGATCATTTTGGTTTATTACAATCAGTTTTAGTTTTACATTAACAGATGAGTAGGAGCTGATTTAAATTGTCAGAATTGGCTGAAAAACTCAATTCAGTTTCTCAAACTTGTGAACTTCAGGTCTTAATTCAACTATTTTGGAATGTCTCTTTCACAATGTGCCATCGATGCTTACAACTACTCCAACAAACAAAAGTTGAGGAGGGAGCGACACTCAGACACGCATTAGGAATTTTACCCATCTCTCACCCTATTGTAATAACAATGCACTTGCGCGCATTGGTCACCCGGTCAGAGCCACTTCCTAAATCTCCATGAGAAAAAAAAAAGCCCCCCTGTGAAAGCGTCCCAGAGGGGGGGCACAGCAGGTTTATGGTAATAAGGCTCTGAGGAGGAGAGGAGGAGGAGGAGGAGGCGGAGGAGAGCCACGGAGCCATTTTGTACTCATTTTAAACTCAGTGTGGGTTAACGCAGCCGCTGCGCGCTGTGGATACGCTCATACTATGGATACCGAGCGTCTTTTTCCACGTTAAAACTTCACAATGAGGGATAAAAGCAAAACGCTGTGCTGGGAGAGGGAGAGTTAATGTGTTTGCAGAGGAGTTTCGATGAAGTTGAATGGGATTTGGCAAGTTTAAAAGCATGGAGCTATCGATGTATTGGATTTGGGTTTGTGTCCTGTTCAGCGTGCCGCTTGCGGGATGTTTGGAGATGCACCTTTCAGAGACTTTACAGCCCGGGACACTTCTGGCAAACCTATCGCTCGGCCCTGGCTGGACTTATAAAATTGACAGGACTTTATCCACTAAATTCATTCAAAGCTTTTTCCAGGTTGAGAGGCACGATGGAGTTATCCGTCTGTCCCACAAAGTTCAGTGTGCGCACACACCGAGGAACCCGGCGCCTGTTTATTTCAGAACAGGTTCTTCAACATCTGGGGACGTTATTCTGACACAGTTTAATGTGTTTGTCCACGGCCAGGACTGTTTTATTAAATACAAGAGAAAGAAAGCGACAGGTAAGCCAGACATTCACATTAAACACCTTTCAAAGCTGGAGGCAACTTCCTGCTTACCCGCAGGTAAGTTGCTTTTGAATGTCACAGAACTTTTGCCCACCTTTACGCGGAACACTACCTTTATGGACAGCATGTGTGTCGGACGACAGTTGAGTGCAATGTTCAGGCATGGGGATCTGTTCCTGGCCAGTGACTTATGTCATGATCACAGAGGACAGCCCGAGGTGAATTTGCACTGTGCGTTGCATAGCTCTCCGGGCGGCAGGCTCTCCGTGCAGCTCAGTCTTAAGCTCGTAAAAGTGCCTAAACAACATGGATCCTTCTCGGAAACCACCCAGAGAAAGTCTGGCAAATTGATCCACAGGGGTAAGCGACAGGCGAACTCGCCTCCCCAGTTCCAGCTCCCCAACTATCAAGTGTCTGTGCCCGAGAATGAGCCTGCGGGCACGCGGGTTATCACCCTGAAAGCCACTGACCCGGATGATGGAGACGCAGGGAGGCTGGAGTACAGCATGGAAGCCTTGTTTGACAGCAGGTCCAATGACTTTTTTGACATTGACTCTCAGACAGGGAGCATCACAACCGTCCAGTCACTAGACAGAGAAGTCAAAGACACACATGTTTTCAAAGTCACTGTAATTGACAACGGCTCCCCCAAAAGATCTGCCACCTCTTACCTCACTGTCACTGTGAGTGACACCAATGACCACAGCCCGGTGTTTGAGCAAACTGAATACCGTGTTAGCATCCGGGAGAATGTCGAAGTGGGGTTTGAAGTGATGACAATCCGGGCCACTGATGGGGACGCTCCCTCCAACGCCAACATGATTTATAAAATTGTCAACGGCGATGGAGTTAACTCTGTGTTTGAAATCGACTCCCGCAATGGCCTGGTGAGGATCAGAGAGCGGCCTGACAGGGAGACCCGGGCCAAGTACCAGCTGATAGTTGAGGCCAATGACCAGGGCAAAGACCCAGGTCCCCGCAGTGCCACCGCCACTGTCAACATCTCTGTGGAGGATGAGAATGACAACTACCCACAGTTCAGTGAAAAGAGGTATGTTGTACAGGTCCCAGAGAATGTGGCAGTCAACACCAAAGTCATCCAGGTGGAAGCTACAGACAGAGATGAGGGAAACAATGCCAAAGTTCATTACAGCATCATCAGTGGCAATGTTAAGGGCCAGTTCTACATTCACTCTCCCACCGGTGTGATTGATGTCATCAACCCTCTAGACTATGAGATGATTCGGGAGTATAATTTGAGGATTAAGGCTCAGGATGGTGGCAGGCCTCCTCTGATAAATGGCACAGGGATGGTGGTGGTGCAGGTGGTGGATGTGAACGACAATGCCCCCATGTTTGTCAGCACACCTTTCCAGGCTACTGTGTTGGAAAATGTGGCCATTGGTTACTCTGTGATCCATATTCAAGCAATTGATGGTGATTCAGGAGAAAACGCCCGTTTGGAATATCGGTTAACTGACACCACGCCTGGTTTTCCTTTCACCATCAACAACAGCACAGGCTGGATTACAGTGAGTGAAGAGCTTGACAGGGAGACCACTGACTTCTACACCTTTGGCGTGGAGGCGAGAGATCATGGGATACCTGTGATGTCCTCCTCTGCCAGCGTCAGCATCACAGTGCTTGATGTGAATGACAACGTACCCACATTTACAGAGAAGACATACTCACTGAAGATCAATGAAGATGCTGTCGTGGGAACCAGCGTACTGACAGTGACTGCTGTGGATAGGGATGTCAACAGTGTGGTGACCTATCAGATATCCAGCGGCAACACCAGGAACCGCTTTGCCATCACTAGCCAGAGTGGCGGTGGCCTCATCACCTTAGCCCTCCCTTTGGACTACAAGCAGGAACGCCAGTACGTCCTGACAGTCACGGCCAGCGATGGAACACGCTACGACACTGCTCAGGTGTTCATCAATGTGACAGATGCCAACACGCACCGGCCCGTCTTCCAAAGTGCAAACTACCAGGTGATGCTGAGTGAAGAAAAACCTGTGGGCTCCACTGTGGCGATTATCAGTGCGACTGACGAAGACACGGGGGAAAATGCTCGCATTACGTACTTGATGGAAGACAATGTTCCTCAGTTTAAAATAGACCCAGACACAGGTGCCATCACAACACAAATGGAGATTGACTATGAAGACCAGGCCTCCTACACATTAGCCATTATTGCCAGAGACAATGGCATCCCTCAGAAATCTGATACCACCTATGTGGAGATTATAATCCAAGATGCCAATGATAATACTCCTCAGTTTCTTAGGGATATGTACCAGGGGACTGTATTTGAAGATGCACCTGTCTACACCAGCGTTCTCCAGATCTCTGCTTCAGATAGAGATTCTGGCTCAAATGGCAGGTTGAGCTATACGTTCCAGGGTGGCGATGATGGAGATGGGGATTTCTTCATAGAGCCGTACTCTGGTATCATCAGAACAGCTCGCAAACTGGACCGGGAAAACGTTCCTGTTTACAATCTGAAGGCTTTTGCTGTGGATAGGGGGGTTCCGCCTCTGAAAGCAGCTGTTCCCATTCATGTGGTCGTCCAAGACATAAATGACAATGCTCCAGTGTTTGAGAAGGACGAGCTGTTCATTGACGTGAAGGAGAACAGCCCGGTGGGGTCCGTCGTGGCGAGAATCTCTGCCACCGACCCCGATGAGGGCACCAATGCTCAGATCATGTATCAGATTGTGGAAGGGAATATTCCAGAAGTTTTCCAGCTAGACATTTTTAACGGTGACCTCACTGCGCTCACAGACCTGGACTATGAGACTAAAACAGAGTATGTCATCGTGGTCCAGGCCACCTCAGCACCTCTAGTGAGTCGGGCCACTGTGCACATCCGCCTTGTAGACATGAATGACAATGAGCCGGTGCTGCAGAACTTTGAGATTATTTTCAACAACTATGTCACCAACAAGTCGAACAGTTTTCCATCAGGAATAATAGGAAAGGTACCGGCTCATGACCCAGATGTGTCGGATAAGCTACGGTACAAGTTTGAATCTGGAAATGAGCTCAGTCTGCTGCTGCTGAATGAGGACACCGGGGATCTGAGGTTGAGCAGGGACCTGGACAATGACAGGCCCCTGGAAGCACCCATGACCGTTTCTGTCTCAGGTAAGAAAAAAAATCTGAAATCTAATCTTATTTTCAAGCTGTTATTTTAAAGAGGAAAATTTTTTTTTTAATGGCATTTACATGTGTCAGTGCATGCAAACAAGGTGATAAAATGTGTTAAAGAAGGAAATTTAAGTCACCATGTGTGATGTATCATCACACTGCTGAGTCAATATAGAATTTTCTGTTGAATAGAGACTGAGGGCAGGTTTCAGCTGTGGTATTGACTGTATGTTCAGTAAGTGTTTGCTGCAGGCTCTATGAAGGATCCGGTTGTGCTGCTTTTGTGCAGTTTGACTGATAAATGTATTGTGTGTAAGTGGTTGGTTGAGGTAATAAAAATGTGCTATTAGAAGGGCACCCTCATAACCAAGCCACTTTGTTGTTGCAGATGTGGGTTTCTCACACAAGTAGGAACGCACACATGCGTATAGTGCAGGCATGTGCATTTGCATTATTTCCCTCCCTCAGAGCAAAGCATGCACCCTTTGAAGTGCAGAGGCTGAAGGCTTTTGGCCTGTTGTAGGTGTGCTGCACTGAGTTTTATGAGCATCTTGTGGCAAGATGTCTACCTGGATTTCACCAGAGTAGCTTTCCTTACTTTGTATAGTTTTAACAGGTTAGTTTTTACAAGTTCACATGTGGAACTACCTCCATTTTGAATGAAAGAGAAGTTTTAGATCCAGAGTTTTGTTTTGTGGGGAGATAAACTGAGCTTTCTGTAACACAGGTTTGGATCTCAAGGCTTGTGAGTTCATATTACAAGGTCATGCAGAAAGAATTTGTGTTAAGTTGCTTTCTTTCCACTACAGAAGCAGACTTTGTTCTTTCAAGTTAAAGATTACACAAATGCAAACACTTGGACATTCACACCTAAACTGGTAGAGTAACGGCTACAGTAGAGGCACACACACACAACACACCACTCTTACCACACACACACTACTACACACCACAACACACAACACGAACACAGAAAAGCACTCGTGATTAATCAGACGCAGTTGACAGGTCATGATAAATCTATACCATGACAGAATAACACCATGATCCCTATTGACAAGCTGACTCACAAACTTCTTGATCTTCCTTCTTCTTCTTTTTCGTTCTGCATCATTCGCGATTGTTGTTTCTTTCTTCTTCTCTTTGGGAATGATCTCCCAGGAAGCCACCAGTTATATATTACAAAAATTAAATGACTTAACCATCAAGATATTATTGGGGATCAAAACGGCCAAGGGGAGCTCACAAACAACTGACCTACGCCCCACCCACTCTGCAAAGGACAGCCACATCCATCATCGCCAGTTGTGAGCAGTCACATTCTTTTTTTCAGGAACCACGCTGCGGATCACATCCTTTAACTCATAATTCCACATTTCCTCCAGTTACTTATTAGATAATCAGGAGATTTGCATTCAGTCCAACTCAAGGGACCAATCACAGTGACCATAAGAGCCTGAGAGGAAAAGATAGTATAGCACGATGCATTGTTAAAACTAGGAATTACATACAAGATACAGCATCTACCCTCTGCAAAGGATCGTATACTGAAGCCAAATTTACATATGGATTTATTTTTAATTATTATGATAGCTTGCTTATGTGGATCCAGCTTTTGAGGATAGGCTGCACCACAGCAATCCCACATTCCCAGTCCATCAATCTAATCATATTTATGGTTATTTTAACTGTAAAACTGTCAGCCTTGGGTTGTTGTTGTTGTTTTTGTTATGACGACTAGAAAGAATGCAGAGAATCAGTGGCATTTCCCCCTCTTTTGGTCAGTGATTGAAACATTGATAGGATAATATATACACAGTCTTTAGCTGGACTTAAACCTGCAGCATCATACCGTGGTCCTTCAGGCGGTGGGAGGCTTTCCCCAGACGTCTCTCTATTTTCTCTAACAGTCTTTTTGCTGAAGGACTTGTGCCTTGTCTTTCTCTCAGACAAAAGAGAGACTGTCCTTTTTTAAGTGCTTTATTGCTGTTATAGACGACCTGCAGAGCATCTGAGGTGGCAGCGACTGACCACAATAGTTTCAGGCCTTTACAGCCCTCATTCACTGCCACTGCATTCATGTTTGTCAATAACAGCTGACAGCTCTTGCGGTATCCCTGACAACAGTACCTCATGATGGTCCCAAAGGGGACTGGACCACTTTATTAGTTGTAGTCATATGCGCGCACACACACACACACGCACACACACATATATAAGTTAGCATGTGTTCATTCACAATTAAACAGATGCACATACTCCAAACCTGGTGGCTCACACTGATGTCAAGTGTTAGGTAACCATCACCACGGATGTCTTGACCTTTTAACCCCGGTCTCTCGGGGGGAGGAAGGCTTGAGGGGATTGGTGAGTGAACAGCACATTAACAAGCACCAAGAACCAATACTCTGGTTGTGTATCTATCGCTCTTTAATTCAGTATTTAGTTTTATTCTCCGGTTGTTTTGACCCTTTCTCTGTCACTGTCTGATCCTGAGGTCTTCACTTCCACATGGTTCTGGTTCGAGACCCCGTTTGGATTGGGTTTGGTTTTCTCTTAGTGTGGTAGTCTAACATCATCCCCATCAGCTCATCATCTCTGCTCACATCAGCATGGACATCCTCCATCCATGGGTGATGAGATTGATCTGAGTGCATTAGCTCTGTCTTGCCTACTTAACCCTGATTATTATGCCTGATCAATGGAACAAAAACATTGTTTATGTATCACAGTGAGCATTGATCCGCCTCGGCTGTAGAGGGCCCACGGCAAAGTAGAGATGAAGAGGTTGCCATCTGTCAAAAAGAGTGACACATTTTTTTCCTTACAGCCTTCTAAACAAGGCTCTCCTTTGAATCTATGAAAGAGGTGCACAGGTGCTTTTACAGTGGCGAACAGAAGGCTTGAGAATGTTTCTCTAGCCCGCTGCTGAAACACAAGAATGCCCTGATAACTCTCCCGAGATACACTCGCTTAACACACTCTGCTAGCCACAACACTGTCCTATCTGTCTTCGTTCTCTCTCCCCCTGTACTTATGTGTGAGAGACGGTACCTCCCTAGTTTGATAGCTAAGGGCTAGGTGTTCTCATTGTAAGAGCGTCTTATCATAGCTTGTCAAATTTCACTTAAAACCTTTGGGGTTTTCACTCTGCTTTCTAAAAGATCAGTATCTGTCAATTTCTGACCGTCACAAAGCAGGAGTTGTACAGTATTTCAGTGTAGTGCGCCTTGGCTTTCTTTACTGTATTTTCTTATATGACTTTAACAGGTGTTAACTATTGCTTTGTCACTAAGGTCTATTCAGTCAGTGACAGGTCTGTGATTTCTTACAAATCAACTGCCTACAGTTGTACACAGGAAACACAAATCACAATTTTGTTAATTTGTTACTGTAGTTACTACATAGTAAGACTCTCAAACCAGCTGGATGATTGCCAGAACTGACAGTCAGACCCACCATCTAAAGCCAAGATTTACCCTGTGTTCTGCCTCGGCTGTCAGCTATCTAGATAATTAGTGATTTCCTAACGTGGTGATGAAAAGGAAGGCTTTATTTTAGTCATACTTGATTGGACTTTGTACCTTTGGGAAAGTCTGTCTTTACAGAAACCTAAATCGATCCCAAGGAACCCATCCGACTTGATGCGGCTACACCACAAGCATTCATTGTCAAAGTGATGATTTGACGTGCATGGAGGATGAAGTCTGTGGTAACGCGTCTTCCTTCCGAGAGTGTGTTAATTCACGTGTCTGTCAGAGCAGGAAGGCGGTGGATCAGTTCTGTTAGAAGTCACCGCTGCTAGCTTATTGGTCCGTGTAACCGCCACATTCTCCTGTTTGCTTCCTGATATGCAAAAGGAATCGACTAATGTGCACTGGAGTTTTTTTTTTTCCGGGTAGCATCTACCTGATAGGTGGGGTTTAAAATGGCAAAGCTTGCAGGGACTGGCTATAGGTGGAGTTGTGTCATATCATTCAGTGATACAGCATAGCAGATTGTTGCTTAAATGATTATGAGTGATTGATGCTAAATCGTCTTTTTCCACACTGGCTCTGATCTTCTTTCTTACCCTAGGTGAGCGGGACGGCATGCTGCTACACGCACCCATACACACACACACACCCGCCCCCTCCCACCTCCTCCCTGTCCTCCCTCTCTTTTCCCCATGGGGCTTTTGCTGAGCTTCCATGCCTTTGGTTTGGCTCTTAATCCTGTTGGAGGAGTTGCGTAGCTCAGCTTTTTAACATTTCTGTTCTCGTCCACCCACCCCCTCTAACACACACTTTCTCTGCTCCCTCTCTCTCCTCCCTCTCTCAATATACATAATTAGATTTCTACTGTGACACAAGAGCTTTAGCCTTTGATAACCAGAATACAATCTGCTGATGTACCCGTTGAACTTCCACAGACAGGCCACTTAAAAACATTCCTGTAAAAACCACCGCTTCATCATTTATAAAGAATGAGAAGTGTAATTGTTCCTCTATTATGAGGCACAATTAGACTTGTGCAATTCATGGTAGAGTATTGGGCGTGATGCATTGCTCTCCGTATGACTTTTGTGGCTTTTCATTCATGCTCTTGAGCAAAGAGGAAAAAAATCTTCCCCAGTTCTGTCTCCATCCCCTGTCCTTAGCATTCTTTTGGTTTCAAATCATTATTTGACCATAAAATAGTTTGTCACACATGTCATGAAGGACACAGGAACGTGTACTGGGAAAGACAAATGACTGTGTGACCTGTGTGAGTCAAGGGACAAATGTCTTCCTGTCAGGCTTCTGTTCCCGTCTATTTGTCCAGGTAACTGTCACGCGTCTGGTATTTTGACAAGAGAAATGTGACTCCTCACTTGAGCACAGGTGTGGCTATGATGCGCAGACAGTGATGACACGTGACCTTTCCCCTCTGAGATCAAAGCAGGACATGGGGTTTTAAACACACACTCAGCCGTAAGAAATGACCCTGTACTTGCCTACACAAGACTTTTGACCTCT